CAGCGCAGCTCGCTTCATGTGCATCTTGCAGATGTACAGATGTACAGATGTACAGTTGGTGTACAGCGGGTACCTGTGCGTAGTGCGCGGTGTAGTGGTGTGCGGTGGCGCGCTCTGCGTGCGCGTAGCCTCGCAGCGCAGCTCGCTTCATGGGCATCTTGGAGATGTACAGATGTACAGATGTACAGATGTACAGATGTACAGTTGGTGTACAGCGGGTACCTGTGCGTAGTGCGCGGTGTAGTGGTGCGCGGTGGCGCGCTCTGCGTGCGCGTAGCCTCGCAGCGCAGCTCGCTTCATGTGCATCTTGCAGATGTACAGATGTACAGATGTACAGATGTACAGTTGGTGTACAGCGGGTACCTGTGCGTAGTGCGCGGTGTAGTGGTGCGCGGTGGCGCGCTCTGCGTGCGCGTAGCCTCGCAGCGCAGCTCGCTTCATGTGCATCTTGCAGATGTACAGATGTACAGATGTACAGTTGGTGTACAGCGGGTACCTGTGCGTAGTGCGCGGTGTAGTGGTGTGCGGTGGCGCGCTCTGCGTGCGCGTAGCCTCGCAGCGCAGCTCGCTTCATGTGCATCTTGCAGATGTACAGATGTACAGATGTACAGTTGGTGTACAGCGGGTACCTGTGCGTAGTGCGCGGTGTAGTGGTGCGCGGTGGCGCGCTCTGCGTGCGCGTAGCCTCGCAGCGCAGCTCGCTTCATGTGCATCTTGCAGATGTACAGATGTACAGTTGGTGTACAGCGGGTACCTGTGCGTAGTGCGCGGTGTAGTGGTGCGCGGTGGCGCGCTCTGCGTGCGCGTAGCCTCGCAGCGCAGCTCGCTTCATGTGCATCTTGCAGATGTACAGATGTACAGATGTACAGACGTACAGATGTACAGTTGGTGTACAGCGGGTACCTGTGCGTAGTGCGCGGTGTAGTGGTGCGCGGTGGCGCGCTCTGCGTGCGCGTAGCCTCGCAGCGCAGCTCGCTTCATGTGCATCTTGCAGATGTACAGATGTACAGATGTACAGTTGATGTACAGCGGGTACCTGTGCGTAGTGCGCGGTGTAGTGGTGTGCGGTGGCGCGCTCTGCGTGCGCGTAGCCTCGCAGCGCAGCTCGCTTCATGTGCATCTTGCAGATGTACAGATGTACAGATGTACAGATGTACAGATGTACAGATGTACAGATGTACAGATGTACAGTTGGTGTACAGCGGGTACCTGTGCGTAGTGCGCGGTGTAGTGGTGCGCGGTGGCGCGCTCTGCGTGCGCGTAGCCTCGCAGCGCAGCTCGCTTCATGTGCATCTTGCAGATGTACAGATGTACAGATGTACAGTTGGTGTACAGCGGGTACCTGTGCGTAGTGCGCGGTGTAGTGGTGCGCGGTGGCGCGCTCTGCGTGCGCGTAGCCTCGCAGCGCAGCTCGCTTCATGTGCATCTTGCAGATGTACAGATGTACAGATGTACAGATGTACAGTTGGTGTACAGCGGGTACCTGTGCGTAGTGCGCGGTGTAGTGGTGCGCGGTGGCGCGCTCTGCGTGCGCGTAGCCTCGCAGCGCAGCTCGCTTCATGTGCATCTTGCAGATGTACAGATGTACAGATGTACAGTTGGTGTACAGCGGGTACCTGTGCGTAGTGCGCGGTGTAGTGGTGTGCGGTGGCGCGCTCTGCGTGCGCGTAGCCTCGCAGCGCAGCTCGCTTCATGGGCATCTTGGAGATGTACAGATGTACAGATGTACAGATGTACAGATGTACAGTTGGTGTACAGCGGGTACCTGTGCGTAGTGCGCGGTGTAGTGGTGCGCGGTGGCGCGCTCTGCGTGCGCGTAGCCTCGCAGCGCAGCTCGCTTCATGTGCATCTTGCAGATGTACAGATGTACAGATGTACAGATGTACAGTTGGTGTACAGCGGGTACCTGTGCGTAGTGCGCGGTGTAGTGGTGCGCGGTGGCGCGCTCTGCGTGCGCGTAGCCTCGCAGCGCAGCTCGCTTCATGTGCATCTTGCAGATGTACAGATGTACAGATGTACAGTTGGTGTACAGCGGGTACCTGTGCGTAGTGCGCGGTGTAGTGGTGTGCGGTGGCGCGCTCTGCGTGCGCGTAGCCTCGCAGCGCAGCTCGCTTCATGTGCATCTTGCAGATGTACAGATGTACAGATGTACAGTTGGTGTACAGCGGGTACCTGTGCGTAGTGCGCGGTGTAGTGGTGCGCGGTGGCGCGCTCTGCGTGCGCGTAGCCTCGCAGCGCAGCTCGCTTCATGTGCATCTTGCAGATGTACAGATGTACAGTTGGTGTACAGCGGGTACCTGTGCGTAGTGCGCGGTGTAGTGGTGCGCGGTGGCGCGCTCTGCGTGCGCGTAGCCTCGCAGCGCAGCTCGCTTCATGTGCATCTTGCAGATGTACAGATGTACAGATGTACAGACGTACAGATGTACAGTTGGTGTACAGCGGGTACCTGTGCGTAGTGCGCGGTGTAGTGGTGCGCGGTGGCGCGCTCTGCGTGCGCGTAGCCTCGCAGCGCAGCTCGCTTCATGTGCATCTTGCAGATGTACAGATGTACAGTTGATGTACAGCGGGTACCTGTGCGTAGTGCGCGGTGTAGTGGTGTGCGGTGGCGCGCTCTGCGTGCGCGTAGCCTCGCAGCGCAGCTCGCTTCATGTGCATCTTGCAGATGTACAGATGTACAGATGTACAGATGTACAGATGTACAGATGTACAGTTGGTGTACAGCGGGTACCTGTGCGTAGTGCGCGGTGTAGTGGTGCGCGGTGGCGCGCTCTGCGTGCGCGTAGCCTCGCAGCGCAGCTCGCTTCATGTGCATCTTGCAGATGTACAGATGTACAGATGTACAGATGTACAGTTGGTGTACAGCGGGTACCTGTGCGTAGTGCGCGGTGTAGTGGTGTGCGGTGGCGCGCTCTGCGTGCGCGTAGCCTCGCAGCGCAGCTCGCTTCATGTGCATCTTGCAGATGTACAGATGTACAGATGTACAGATGTACAGTTGGTGTACAGCGGGTACCTGTGCGTAGTGCGCGGTGTAGTGGTGCGCGGTGGCGCGCTCTGCGTGCGCGTAGCCTCGCAGCGCAGCTCGCTTCATGTGCATCTTGCAGATGTACAGATGTACAGATGTACAGATGTACAGTTGGTGTACAGCGGGTACCTGTGCGTAGTGCGCGGTGTAGTTGTGCGCGGTGGCGCGCTCTGCGTGCGCGTAGCCTCGCAGCGCAGCTCGCTTCATGTGCATCTTGCAGATGTACAGATGTACAGATGTACAGTTGGTGTACAGCGGGTACCTGTGCGTAGTGCGCGGTGTAGTGGTGCGCGGTGGCGCGCTCTGCGTGCGCGTAGCCTCGCAGCGCAGCTCGCTTCATGTGCATCTTGCAGATGTACAGATGTACAGATGTACAGACGTACAGATGTACAGTTGGTGTACAGCGGGTACCTGGGCGTAGTGCGCGGTGTAGTGGTGCGCGGTGGCGCGCTCTGCGTGCGCGTAGCCTCGCAGCGCAGCTCGCTTCATGTGCATCTTGCAGATGTACAGATGTACAGATGTACAGACGTACAGATGTACAGTTGGTGTACAGCGGGTACCTGGGCGTAGTGCGCGGTGTAGTGGTGCGCGGTGGCGCGCTCTGCGTGCGCGTAGCCTCGCAGCGCAGCTCGCTTCATGTGCATCTTGCAGATGTACAGATGTACAGATGTACAGATGTACAGTTGGTGTACAGCGGGTACCTGTGCGTAGTGCGCGGTGTAGTGGTGTGCGGTGGCGCGCTCTGCGTGCGCGTAGCCTCGCAGCGCAGCTCGCTTCATGTGCATCTTGCAGATGTACAGATGTACAGATGTACAGATGTACAGTTGGTGTACAGCGGGTACCTGTGCGTAGTGCGCGGTGTAGTGGTGCGCGGTGGCGCGCTCTGCGTGCGCGTAGCCTCGCAGCGCAGCTCGCTTCATGTGCATCTTGCAGATGTACAGATGTACAGATGTACAGTTGGTGTACAGCGGGTACCTGTGCGTAGTGCGCGGTGTAGTGGTGCGCGGTGGCGCGCTCTGCGTGCGCGTAGCCTCGCAGCGCAGCTCGCTTCATGTGCATCTTGCAGATGTACAGATGTACAGATGTACAGTTGGTGTACAGCGGGTACCTGTGCGTAGTGCGCGGTGTAGTGGTGTGCGGTGGCGCGCTCTGCGTGCGCGTAGCCTCGCAGCGCAGCTCGCTTCATGTGCATCTTGCAGATGTACAGATGTACAGATGTACAGATGTACAGATGTACAGATGTACAGTTGGTGTACAGCGGGTACCTGTGCATAGTGCGCGGTGTAGTGGTGCGCGGTGGCGCGCTCTGCGTGCGCGTAGCCTCGCAGCGCAGCTCGCTTCATGTGCATCTTGCAGATGTACAGATGTACAGATGTACAGTTGATGTACAGCGGGTACCTGTGCGTAGTGCGCGGTGTAGTGGTGCGCGGTGGCGCGCTCTGCGTGCGCGTAGCCTCGCAGCGCAGCTCGCTTCATGTGCATCTTGCAGATGTACAGATGTACAGATGTATAGATGTACAGTTGGTGTACAGCGGGTACCTGTGCGTAGTGCGCGGTGTAGTGGTGCGCGGTGGCGCGCTCCGCGTGCGCGTAGCCTCGCAGCGCAGCTCGCTTCATGTGCATCTTGCAGATGTACAGATGTACAGATGTACAGATGTACAGTTGGTGTACAGCGGGTACCTGTGCGTAGTGCGCGGTGTAGTGGTGCGCGGTGGCGCGCTCTGCGTGCGCGTAGCCTCGCAGCGCAGCTCGCTTCATGTGCATCTTGCAGATGTACAGATGTACAGATGTACAGATGTACAGTTGGTGTACAGCGGGTACCTGTGCGTAGTGCGCGGTGTAGTGGTGCGCGGTGGCGCGCTCTGCGTGCGCGTAGCCTCGCAGCGCAGCTCGCTTCATGTGCATCTTGCAGATGTACAGATGTACAGATGTACAGATGTACAGATGTACAGATGTACAGTTGGTGTACAGCGGGTACCTGTGCGTAGTGCGCGGTGTAGTGGTGCGCGGTGGCGCGCTCTGCGTGCGCGTAGCCTCGCAGCGCAGCTCGCTTCATGTGCATCTTGCAGATGGCCGACACTAGCAGCACCACCGCGATCATGAAGATCAGTGCGCAAGCTAAAATTATAAAATATAGCTAGTAAACGAACCATTCCAGAACATAACCGAATTCACAACAGAAGACATTTGTCCAAGCGCGTTTGAAAGACGAACATACAAATAAACATATTTTTTAAATAATATTTGCAATATACAATCATTATGATAATTACAGCCTTTAACAAGTCAACTGCTGAACATAACCTTGAGCCACCTGCTTGCATCGAGTGCATGTATCGCCAGGACTCCATGTAGTAAAGGAACTACCAGCATAAAGCTGAAATTCAAAAACCTTTCATTTTTTTAGATGTCAGCAGTAAGAAAGTCGAAAATAACATTAAATTTAAATTTATTTCTCTTTATTTAACAAATGTCACCAAGTGACACCATCAGAAAACATTTATCATCTATCGTCGTCAGAATATTATGGATAATATATATACTAAATGGATCATCCGGTTCGAAGGACAAAAAATGCAGAGTATTACCCTTATGCAGAGTATTATTTGCCGTGTAGTGGCGGTTAAGAATATCCACTACCCCATATCTTCCCGTGGGTGTCGTAAAAGGCGACAAAGGGAAACAGGCAGAAGATGGGCAGCAGCATCTGCCTGATAAAAACAAACTTACAATAAAAAAACTGCTGTTGCCAACCCGCTCGCCAAGCGTGGCAGCTATGGCAAATACCCCCCTATGATGACAGTAACAAAGAAACGGCCCCCAGTCCCCGGCACCCCCGCTATTCGTGGCTACGGTGGCGACCATGGTAACGGCGGGGCTGGGGCTGCTTAGAATCTCCGGTGGTTCGGTTGCCACCTAAGACGACTCGACCTGGCAACATACAACGCACGCACCCTGAGGACTGACGAGAAGATCGTGGAGCTGGAAGAAGAGATAGAGAAGTTGCGCTGACATATTATAGGATTATCCGAAGTCCGAAGAGAGGGGGAGGACACGGTAATCCTCGAATCTGGCAACTTGCTCTATCACCGGTTGGGCGGCCTTCTGTCCCAAGGAGGTGTCGGATTTATCGTCCACAAGTCTCTCGTTAACAACGTTGTAAAGATTGAGAGTGTGTCGACGAGGGTTGCGTACCTTATACTCAGAATCACCAAACGGTATTCGCTGAAGGTCATACAGGTTTACGCACCAACCTCGGCACACCCCGATGAGGAGGTGGCGGAAATATATGAGGATATCTCTAGAGCCATGCATTCCTCCAAAACCCAATATACGGTGTTAATGGGAGACTTCAATGCAAAACTAGGCACAAGAGAGAACGGTGAGCTGAAAGTAGGGAAATTTGGAATAGGGCAACGGAACCCAAGTGGTCAGCAGCCGGCCGACTTCATGGAGAAAGAGGGACTTTTTATGATGAACTCTTTCTTCCAGAAACGGCCCACAGGAAGTGGACCTGGTCGAGCCCCGACGGTTCCACAAAAAATGAGATTGACTTCATTATGACGACCAGACGACAACTGTTCTGTAATGTCTCCGTGATCGCGAGGGTGAAAACTGGTAGCGATCACCGAATGGTTAGAGGAACACTGAACCTAAACGTTAAGTTGGAGAGGTCTCGTCTAACGAAGTCAACGTTCCGTCCCCCTCGTGCTCTGTTCCAAAGTCCCGAAACCTTTCAGCTCGAGTTACAAAACCGTTTTCAATGCCTAGAAGACTGCAATGAAGTGGACGATATGAATGACAAACTCGTGGAAACTGTCCATGCGGTCGGAGCTAAGTTCTGCAAGACCCGCCGCAGAAGAACACAAAAACTCTCCGATCACACTCTCAATCTCATGGCTGTTAGACGAGAGATTGTAGTGTTATGCTACTTACATATCATTTTACATTATTTTAAATTCATTTTTCCATTCTGTTTCGATTTTCTGCATTCACCTCAAAACTGGATATTTTACATCACCTTTATTTCCATAGGATCCTGTAACGATTTTAAACCATAAGAACACAATAACAAATCATTTCTACTTCGTATTTTCACATTATCAGCACTTTTAAATTGGTGTCAATGGAGTCTACCTTGTTCGATATTTTATTTAGTTTTCCGTAACTCTGCAATTTCGGACTTTGTGCGCGCAGTTGCGCTACCTTTTTTCCTATATCAATAATATCTCATTTTTCACTTAAATCTTGCCATTTTTCTATTACGAGCCTAAAACCAAAATTTGACATGTTTTGACATCGTTGTTTATTTGGTCGCTATGACAATTATATTCAAATTTGCTACCAGTCTGTTGTTTCTATTTCGATAATTCTACATAAATACTCTTTCCTCTTGACCATTTACAAAAAATTTGCGTTTAATTTAAATAATTTTCCAGTTCTCTCTAGAAAGGTATAAAAGCCGAACAATCGGTGAAGAAATTCAGTCTCGAGAGGTCTCGAGTTCGAAGCATCTCCTAAAGGCGTTATCCCGGGGCCGCACTGCCCCGGGATCCTGCAAGCCTCTGTCCTGCCTGAAGCCACTGGACTCTACGAACCTCTGCTCTACCTGAAGTCGCCGGATCCTACAAGCCTTTGCTCTGCCTGAAGTCGCCGGGATCCTACAAGTCTCTGCTCTGCCTGGAGTCGCCGGAACCTGCAAACCTCTGTCCCGCCTGAAATCACCGGAGCCTGCAGGCCTCTGTCCTGTCTGAGGTCGCTGAGGATCCTGCAAGCCCCTGTCTGGCCTGAAATCGCCGGATCCTGCAATCACCGCATTCACCTGAGGTCGTCGCCTAGAGACGCCCACGCCTTCTCACCTACGCCGTGCGTGCACGTTCCAGGCGCTGAGAGCACACTTTGGATCTTCAGACTCAATTTCGACTCTAATCTTTTTTTTATTACCTTTTTTTTAAAAAATTGTAAACCACGACATCCATCCTCATCTTCATACCCCATTTTACTATATAAAATTGTAAATATCTTTTAAATCTTAAATATATTTTTTTTTTTTTTATAGGAGAGGGGGCAAACGAGCATGCGGCTCACCTGATGGTAAGTGACTACCGCCGCCCATGAACAACCGCAACACCAGGGGAATTGCAGATGCGTTGCCGGCCTTTTAAAAAGGAGTAGGCTCTTTTCTTGAAGGTCCCTAAGTCGTATCGGTCCGGAAAAACCCCTGGTGGTAAACTATTCCACAAGGAAGTTGTGCGAGGAAGAAAACATCTTCTAAATCGCACAGTGGTGGACCGCCAATCATCCAGATGGTGTGGATGGTATCGGGAGTTCTGCCGCGATGTGCGTTCGTGAAATTTGGCGGCTGGGATTAATCCGAACAATTCCTCAGAGCACTCCCCATGGTAGATGCGAAAGAAAATGCAAAGAGATGCAACATCTCTTCGCAGTGCCAATGAATCGAGCCGATCGGAAAGGGCTCGGTCGTCGACGATTCGAGCCGCTCTGCGCTGGATGCGGTCAAGTGGAAGGAGCTGGCACTGGGGAGCCCCTGCCCAGAGATGGGAACAGTATTCCATGTGAGGCCGAACCTGCGCCTTGTAAAGTTGCAGGCGGTGTGCCGGCATGAAATACTGTCCCGCTCTGCTGAGCACGCCAAGCTTTTTAGAGGCCAATTTGGCCTTCTCTTCCAAGTGACCACGAAACTGCACGTCACTCGATATGTCGACTCCGAGGATACCGATACTGGCTGAGGCAAGAAGGGGAGTGCCTTGAAACTGAGGAGATACGACAAAGGGGTTCTTTTTAGCGGTAAACGCGCAAACTTGTGTCTTCTGAGGATTAAACTGGACTAGATTTAGTCGCCCCCAATCCGAGACTTTGTCCAGCAAAGACTCGACTTCAGACACAAGTTTGTTCCGGTACTCGGCGACGTTTTCCCGAGAAATATTGGCCCGGCCGGTGTATAGAGCATCACCAGTGCTGTCATCCGCATAGCAATGAATGTTACCAGTTAGCAACATATCATTGATATGCAGAAGAAACAGCGTTGGTGATAGCACACAGCCTTGTGGAACACCAGCGTTAATAGGCTTGTAGTCAGAACATGCACCGTCTACAACGACCTTGATGCTCCGATCTGCAAGAAAGCTGGTGATCCAATTGCACAATTTCTCGGGAAGCCCATAGGAAGGCAGCTTCGAAAGAAGCGCTTTGTGCCAAACCCGATCAAAGGCCTTCGCAATGTCCAGACTAACGGCCAACGCCTCCCCCTTGGACTCTACTGCCTCCGCCCATCTATGGGTCAGGTAGACCAGAAGATCACCAGCTGATCGACACCGACGAAAACCGTATTGGCGGTCACTAATCAGCTGGTGATCCTCAAGGTACCGGATGAGCTGGCAGTTAATAATGGATTCCATTATTTTGGAGAACAAGGAGGTGATCGCGATAGGCCTATAGTTGGACGGGTCTGAGCGGTCGCCTTTTTTAGGGATCGGGTGGACAAAAGCTATCTTCCATGAATTCGGGACTACGCCTTGGGAGTAGGAGTACCGGAAAAGACGCGTTAGGACCGGTGCCAACTCCGGAGCACACGTCCTCAGCACAATTGGGGGGATTCCGTCAGGCCCACTCGACTTCTGGATGTCCAGGGAGAGAAGTGCTTTGCGAACTGAGCGCTGTGAGAATAGCACATCCGGCATGGAGCACTCATACCGCGGGATAGTCGGCGGTATTTTCCCCCCGTCATCAAGAGTCGAGTTGGACGCAAAAAGGGAGCCTAAAAGGTCGGCTTTGTCTTTTGCGTCTTGGGCCAGTGAGTCGTCCTCCCTGTGCAGAGACCAGTGATGGCTTACAGAAATTCCCTTGGACAGCCTTGGCGAGAGACCAGAATGCACGGGTTCCCGAAGGAAGGCGAACTAGTTTCTCGCCAATTCTGCCTATGTGCTCTAACTTTGCCTTGGCAATAACTCTTTTGAAGGACCTGGAGGCGAAGTTATACTTCTTTTTAAGTGTGCTGGTGTTTACATCCCGAGTCACCGAAGCCGCAGCCCAGGCTTGATAACACTCCTGCTTACTGCGCAATGCAGTCTTACAGGAGCGACCAAACCAAGGCTGAGATCTGCCTCCGATGGGTACCACAGATGATGGAATAAATAGTTCCATTCCCTGTAGCACCACATCAGTGACAGAGTCAGCAACAGCACTGGGATCATCCGGCGAGAAGCAAACCCGCCCCCATGGGTAGGATGCAAAGAAAGACCGCATTCCGTCCCAATCCGCCGACCTGTAATGCCAAACACGGCGGCAACCTGCAGAACGCAACCGCGAAGGGAGCGTGAGTGGCACCATACTCCGGATCAGACAATGGTCCGAAGAGCCGAGAGGGGCATCGACGGAAACCTGATATCCGTCCGGATGAGAGGTCAGCAGAAGGTCCAACAGGGAAGGTGTATGATCCTCCACATCTGGAATCCGCGTAGGCGAAGTAACCAGTTATGTCAGACCATATGCCAAGGCAAAGTCATAAACAGATCTCCCCGCATGATCGGTTAGACGTGAACCGAGCCATTCGGCATGGTGGGCGTTAAAATCGCCAAGGATCACGATCTCTGCGGATGGGACCTGTTGTAGCAAGGAATCTGTAGCCATTTGGACGTGGTCGATGAGTCGGTCTGTTTCGGCATTACCGCTATGGGACCTATAGAGGCACCCGTAGACGCGCGGATGGTCGTCGCTGTCTACGCGTAGCCAAAGGATGGACAGGTCCGAACCTTCAAGACTGCCGAGGCGTCGAGAACAGATGTCCTCTCTAACATACACGCAAACTCCAGCCCGAGGCACAAAGGAGTGCTCCAATTTGTACCCCGGGTAGGAGAGATACGAAATATCAGTCGGAGAGGAAACCTGCGTCTCGGTCAAAAAGAGCAAGGCCGGCTTCGCCGTCTCGAGATGGTAGTGGACGGCGTTTAGGTTAGAGTGAAGTCCCCTGATGTTGCAGAAATTCACGGATAGCGTGGCAGGGGTCGCCTTGATATTGTTGCTCAGCTTGCCCCGAGCAGTTTTGTAATAACATGGATTGGAATAACATGGTCGTGGATGCTCAGCGAGGGATTCTCCAGGGGTACTGGTACCCTCCTGGGGTAGTCTATTGTCTAATTCCGCTACCATGTTGATGGGGGGGGGGGGGGGGAATTGGGCCTCCGGCCACCTGCACTCACCAGACGAAACGCAGAAGCAGAGCCTCTACTTCACGCCGGTATTCTGTGAGGTCGTGGTACCAACCCGGCTCGAGCCGGCCCATACGTGCAACAGCATAAAACTGCTGCAGGGCTCTACCACCTGTATTATTTGTTTTTGTAGTATTTTTGTTGTTTTGTTGCTGTTAGGTTAGATTCTTTTATTTTTAATTGTCGCTTCACGACAAGATGAAGCTACATTCTTCAACAGATTTGACAGCATACAGGCAACTGTACAGACAGATCTCCAAATGCTTGCGGCGGGACTTACGCAACTTCAATACAGCTTGTATTGAAGAAACGATTGAGCGGAACCAAGGCTCCAAAGTCTTTGCCAGAAATCTGTCTGCCAGAAAAAGTCAACTGTCGAAGCTGAAGACCGAGTGTAGCAGCATCGTTTCCGGGGCACCTGAGATTTAGAGTGAGATTGAGAGGTTCTACGGGCAGCTTTACACGTCATCGTTGGAGCCACACGCAAGTGTGAGTAACGATGGTGGCATTACACCGGAGGCGTGGAGCAGAAGTGCGGTGGTCTTGTTGTTCAAGAAAGGTGACAACGCTCTCTTGAAGAACTACAGACCGATTTCCCTTCCGAGCCGCGTCTACGTGCTGTTTTCGAGAGTCATTACGAATCGTCTCGCGCGCAGACTTGACGACTTCCAGCCTCCCGAACAAGCCGATTTCCGAAAGGGCTTTAGCACCATAGACCACATACATACCCTTTGGCAAATTGTACAGAAGTCCGAAGAGTACAATTTGCCACTATGTCTGGCGTATGTGGACTATGAGAAAGCCTTTGATTCCGTCGAAATTTGGGCGGTGCCAAGTAGACTATCGGTATATCGAAGTGCTGAAGTGTTTGTACAGTAGAGCTACGATGGCTATCCGAGTACAGAACCAGAGTACGAAACCTATCCAATTGCAGAGAGGTGTAAGACAGGGTGACGTTATATCCCCGAAACTCTTCACCGCTGCATTGGAAGACGTTTTCAAGCTTCTGGACTGAAAAGGATACGGTATTAACATCAATGGCGAGTACATCACTCACCTTCGATTTGCCGACGATATAGTCCTTATGGCAGAATCGCTGGAGGACCTAAGCACCATGCTCAATGACGTCAATAGTGTCTCCCAACGAATAGGGCTTAGGATGAACATGGACAAAACAAAGATCATGTTTAATGTCCATGTCACACCTATGCCGCTAGTTGTTGGGAGCACTAAGCTCGAAGTTGTTGACGAGTATGTTTACCTGGGACAAATAGTCCGACTAGGTAAGTCCAACTTCGACCGAGAGGTCAATCGACGGATTCAACTCGGCTGGGCAGCGTTCGGGAAGCTACGACACATCTTCTCGTCAGACATACCTCAAAACCTTAAAGCGAAATAGTACAACCAGTGCGTGTTGCCAGTGATGACTTACGAATCTGAGACGTGGTCCTTCACTGCTGGCCGGATGAGGAAGCTCAAGGTCGCTCAGCGAGCTATGCTCGGGGTTTCTGTGCGTGATAAACTTAGAAATGAGTATATCCGCAGTAAAACCAGAGTAACCGACATAGCCCAACGTATTAGTAAGCTGAAGTGGCAGTGGGCCGGCCATATAGCTCGAAGAACCGACAACCGATGGGGAAGGGAGGTTCTTGAGTGGCAGCCTCGTATCGGTAGGCGAAGTGTAAGGCGACCCCCCACGAGATGGAGTGACGACCTGGTAAGACATGCAGGATGTCGATGGATGCAGGGGGCTCAGGACCGTGCTTTGTGGCATTCCTTGGGGGAGGCCTATGTTCAGCAGTGGACTTATGAAAGGCTGTAATGATAATGATGATGATGATTACCCTTATACTTTGTAATAATTAATGCTTATTGATGGTAAATGCTTTGATGAGACTGACCGCTTTGGGCTAATACGAGTACCACACTGATTTATTATTTAATCTATACAAATAAATAAAATTGGAGTGTCTGTTTGTAACGTCAAAAATAACAGCTTTTCAATGAATGTATATGAAAGTATATATGGTACTTACGAGAGCGGCACTGAAAATTTCGGGAATCAAGGAAGTGACACAACATTACTATTTAAAAATGTATTTATTGCTTTTCGAAGTATTCTCCGCGAAATTTGACACATTTTTCCATACGATGGAACCAATCATTGAAGCAACCATTCCATTCGGAAGTTGGGGTCTCCAAAATAGCCGTTTTGTAGGCGTCCACAGCTTCTTCATGTGATGATAATCTCTGTCCACGCAATTTATTCTTTATTTTAGAGAAAGTATAGAAATCATTAGGGCTTAGGTCGGGGCTGTACGGCAGATGGTTTAATAATTCTATGTTTTCTTGCTCTAAAAACTCTTTTGTTCTGTGTGCGGTGTGAGAACTCGCATTGTCGTGATGGAGGATGATGCGGCGGTTGCAGTTCCCTTTACGGAGTTCAGAAACGACCTGTGGCAAACAAATGCTAGCATACCATTCTGCATTAACCGTTCTTTGTCCCTCAAGAGGAATAGTCGTAACATGGCCGATTTTGGAGAAAGACGTGGCTACCATTTTTTTTGCAACACTCCATGAACGAACAATTTTTGTTGGCTTTAACTCATTTTCGAACACCCAAACTCGTCACTAGTTTTTTGTTTCGAGTTCATACGCGTGTATGCAGGATTCGTCACCTGATACGATGTTGTATACAGCATTTGAGGATCCTGCGTGGAATCTTTCGAGAGTTCTGACGCACCAAGTAACGCGAGCCGCTTTTTGCTCTTCACAGAGCGAATGCGGTATCCATCGGGAAAACAACTTTTTTACACCTAATTGTTCATGCAAGATTATTTGTATTTGACTCATGCCAATGTCTAAAGTTGCCTGAATTTCGCGGTATGTCACATGTCGATCTTTCTCAATCAGCTTACGCACAGCATCAACGTTTTCTTGGGTGACTGCAGTTTTTGGACGACCTTGACGGGGATCATCACTGAGCTTGACACGCCCACGTTGAAATTCAGCAAATCATCGATAAATTGCGGTTTTGGATGGGGCTTCATCACCAAATGCAGAAATCATCCGGTCAACACACTGTTTTTGTGTTAAACCACTTCGAAAGTCATAATAAATCATCGCTCTTGAATTTTCTCGAGTCAATTCCATTTTTTCAACGACTAAACAAGTTTGATAAAACCTTGTGGCAAGACCGAGAATCTCTTTTTATATAAATAAATGGTATTCAATTTTAAAAAACCAAGGACTTTTCAATTAAAAAGATTTTAATATGACAGGAACAGTGGAAATATTCTATTCCCGATATTTTTAGTGAAGCCCTCGTATAACAAAAATACAATTTTTAAAATTTTTGTCCGTCTGTCTGTCTGTTTGTTTCGGCTAATCTCCGAAACAACTGGACCGATTTTGATGGGACTTTACTGGCAGACAGCTGATGTTATAAGGAGTAACTTAGGCTACTTTTGTTTTAAAAAAGAATTAGGGTACCGCGCAAAAAAAATTAAAAACCTAATTTACACGCGGGCGAAGCCGCGGAGAACAGCTAGTAATATGATAAAATTTGCACGCGTATGACAAAAAGGTGCAAAAATCCATTTTATATTAGCTATTATAGAAAAATTTTCAATAAATAAAAAAGTAGTAAATACAAATAAAAGTGTTGTCTTGCTGACCGGTGACAGTGTAGATTGTAGACTGTATGAAGCCGTAGTCATCGGGCGCGTGTCGATCTTCGAAAAGTGGCGGATACTCCATCTCCACGTAACCTGCAAACAAACAAACAAAAATTGGTTTCTTTTTAGGATATTCTTCATCACTTACACATGGTATAGTCATGTTGCAGCTATATTATGATTGTACCACGAATGGGTCGGCCCGACCAATATATCCCACAGAATACCAGCGAAAAAAAGCTAAAGAAACGTAAACGTTAGAGAACCCGAGTCCCTTTTTATTGGTTATGAGGCATTTCAACTTAGTCCACAGAACATGTTCAAAGTTTGTCAATATTAATAAGTTTGAAAGCTTTATTAATGAGAAACTGACCAAAAAGGGTTATTATAATATCAAGGAATACATGAATGAAAATAACGCCACCATGCTGGTTTTATGAAAATTCATTTCAAACTTGTACAAACAAAATTATTGTAAAGTGAAATATGTTTTAAAAAAGGTCCCGCTGGATTTCTTGCTGGTTCTTCTTCCCAGGGCAGAGGTATTTTCCGAACCAATGTTAAATAAAAAATGTCGATCAATAAGTAGTATGTAATAATCAATATTTAATAAAATTTATTCTATTATATTTTATTCTATCAACTCTTAAAACAAGACTTAATTTGAAACTTGAGCACCGATGGATTGTTGTTCCTATTTAATCGTTTATATAATGATTCGAAGTGTGTTTTGATACATAAAAGTAATGCGATTTTGTGTATTACGTGTCTGCGCAAGTGAACTATTGGTGGAAACGACAAAACAAGTACTCCGACGTTGATATAAACCACAGGTTTTTGTCCGCTTAAAGAAGCCTTAAGAACTTGAGATACTGTTGTCATCGACAATCCGTTGGGTTTAGCTTGAAAAATCTCCCAAGAACTTTTCAATGTGACGCATCGGTATATTGTAAAGATATTTTTGAAACAAAATATTATAGCCATTCGTCTGTCGCGGCCATTTTGATCAATATGGCGCCTCTGTCGAGCACTTCCTGAAGTACTTCCAGACTACTTCCTGCTGTTCATTAAAATGACTATTTCCAAGACATTTTGTATGAGGGGTATATTAAAATCATATATCAGTGGAAACTTTATTAAACAAGCTATCAGATTATGTGTAACTTGAATATAGGTTTACTTCGAAAGTGATACTAATTGGAAAGTGAATTTAAGAAAAGTGTTTTTCCCCAATTTTCTGCATTAAAGGTGTAATAATTATAAATAAAAGCCTTTATTCCAAGTACTATTTGTTTTACTTGTATGTCAAAAGCATAATTAATAATAAATAATTTGGTTTTTTTTATAGGAGAGGGGGCAAACGAGCATGCGGCTCACCTGATGGTAAGTGACTACCGCCGCCCATGAACAACTGCAACACCAGGGGAATCGCAGATGCGTTGCCGGCCTTTTAAAAAGGAGTACGCTCTTTTCTTGAAGGTCCCTAAGTCGTATCGGTCCGGAAAAATCGCTGATGGTAATCGATTCCACAAGGAAGTCGTGGGAGGAAGAAAACATCTTCTAAATTGCACAGTGGTGGACCGCCAATCATCCAGATGGTGTGGATGGTATTGGGAGTTCTGCCGCGATGTGCGTTCGTGAAATTTGGCAGCTGGGATTAATCCGAACAATTCCTCAGAGCACTCCTCATGGTAGATGCGAAAGAAAATGCAAAGGGATGCAACATCTCTTCGCAGTGCCAATGATACAAAGAAACTTATTCATATATTTTTTGTTCAGGATAAGGTCGAGAACAATTGGCCTCACTTAGCTCTACTCGAATTCGGGACAAAAATTGGGATTTTTACAATTCAATCCCGTATTGTGACCTTTAGACTGGACTTTTATTACATCCTTGTTCTAATCTCTTGATTACAGTAAAGTTAGAGAGAGATAGGATTAGTAGAACCGATATACATTGATCTCTAAAGCTTCGCGGTAAAACGATTTTGACAGATGCGCTTTTTATTTGACACGCCAGATTATGGCGTTTGGACAGACGAGCGGATAAAGGATAATTTCTTTTTATTTGACACTGGCAAAAGTATAATCCTATGAAGCCATAACCAAAGGAAGAAATACTGTATTTAAATCTTTATGATAAAGACTTTCCGGTTCCCTAAGTACTGAGACGATTCATGGTCGAAACATTTTTATACACATGTACTGTCCTCTTGATTACAAAATTAGACTAGAATAACTTAGAATAGCTTAAATTAAACATTTAAAAAACTCCCGAAACAAAAAGAGCTGCTGATCTTCAAAAGGCTGAACAGATTTTCTTGAAATATAGCTGAAAATACTCTGTATTAAGACACATTTCAAACGAAAGAAACTTAATCAAAATCGGTTTATCCGTTCAGGAGCTATGATGCCACAAACAGGCATATACACAAATACAAACATATAACACCCCTGTGTTTTCGCGGAGGGTTAATAAGAATTCCTTATATACCCAATAGTTTGAAATGAAATGAATGCATCTTTTCCAGTAAAAAGGGTCCCCGGTTTTCTACACTCACCATACGAAACACAGCAACGTTAAACTGCTATTTTACGCTGGCATTCTGTGAGAGCGTGGTCCTTCCCCGGTCAAGCCGACCAATTTGTGCTACAACTATACTACTAATATAGCTGCAGCATGGGTCTACTTTTATACTTTTATAGAATAAGGGTGACAACCGAGCACATAATCTCAGATGGACAGTGTGCTCGTAATGTGCATAGGAAGTGTATGCTGTGGCCCATAGACATCCACATTTATCCTCAACTAAGAATCAAACTGCAGATACGTCGTCACATCTGAGGACAAAGCAGGCATTCCATTGCCTCGTTTGCAGTAAATAGGGTCCCCGGCTGTCTACACTCATCAAACGACACACATCACTATTAAGCTGCTCTTCGCCGTCTCATCGGACTATGAGAGCGAGAGAATAGAGGCTGCACCTGTGCTGTGCATTATAATCCTGACCTGCGCACAGCTAGTCTACTGGCCACTATGACCTAAATTCCGTGTAGAGGAACAGTACCTTCGAGCCTGGAGAAGCGCGGATGCTCATCGCAGCAGTCGGGTTGGCGGCACAGCGGATCGCCCGCACGACAGCACGCAGCGTCCGAGATACATCGTCCCGACGAACAGTTCAACTTGTCGCTACCTGCAACCAACATTGCACTCGCTATTCACGGTTACCTCAAACTGAATAAACTTCGCGATGTGATGCATTAACAAATCATCTCATTCATTTTCATTCATCCAATTGTGGGGAACTTATACGTCGGACTAACGATCCACCCGGCTTCGCTTGTATAGGGATCTATTAAGTATCGTTGTCTAGATTTAAAAGAGCGTGGTCCTTCCCCGGTCGAGCCGACCCATTCATGCTACAACTATTGTATTTATTTTTATTTTTATGTTATGGAAAACCAACAGCTTACAAATCTTAAGTAAATAACATGTTAAATTTACAAAAAAGCCAATAACAGGTTCTCACTAATAGAAATACACTAACATAATCGATTTCGTTGTTTAAAGGACATACCACAAATACGAGCAACAAAAATGGAGTCTAATTAAAATGTACAACATGCATAAATTTAATAAGCGAAACAAACAATAATAGCCACAAAACAAAAGAAAAAGCAGGACTAAACACACAATATAATTTTTTCTTAAAATAAATTAAATTATGACATAAAAACTCTCGACTTAATGTCCGCCTTGCCGATATATAGCTAGTATAAACAAATCAAAATCATGCTTTTTGCATAAATTAGTAAAATTATTAATAGAGCGATACATGAAAGTATTTCTTCCATAATTAGTTGATGAAGCTGGTAAGTAGAGTAATGCATTCGTTCTAAGGTTCACTAAAGGTTTTCTCAGTGATATTTGTGATAGCAAATCAGAACAGTCAACATTGCCAGAACAGATTTTCAATAAAAATACAATGTCAGCAATCTCCCGACGCTTTATCAGAGGTAGCAGATGATGGTGTTTGCATAAGGATAAGTAGTCTTCCGATCGGTAGTTTCTATGGGTACGATAGCAAAGATATCGTATAAATTTACGTTGGATATTTTCAATCCGTGAAATGTATGTATGATGATACATCGGGTTCCAAATCTGTGAAGCATAATTCAAGCGTATTGCGGACGTAAGTACAGTACAAGATTTTAATTGTACCAAACTTATTGGTAGTGTTAACGTCTCTGCACAATTAATAAGAAAAGTGGCTGGTAGGTTATCAGGTCTGGCGGATTTTGATGGATCAAGAGCTTTCAACTATCGATACACGTGCTTAACGTTAACTTCTATTTTTGAAATATTTGCAGTCGATTTTGATGTTATTAGGAATATTTGGAGTTGATTGAGCGCCCGGGTATAAGAAATTTGACTTGAAATAAGTTGCAAACGCGTCACTAATAGACTGTCCTGTGTAATTTTTTTGTTGTAATTAGTTGTAATTACACTACCTAAATTGAGACTACTTGGAATAGAGTGAGTTCTTGATTTACGTTTAACATACGAGTATGACCCGAAATATTTATGATTTTTTTCTATTGACCTTTCAACGGTTTATATGTAGTTTTTATGACACATATCTTCCAAATATTTAACACGAGTGCGCAGTATTTTGTACGATTTTTCATTGGATCTATTACCATAGGTAGAAAGGTACTACCAATATACTTGTAGCATGGCCCTACCTATTCTTTCACGACAGAAGTAAACTGAATCAAGATAGGCAGTGGCATAGCGTTGTTATTCACGCAGCTACGAACAGTTCGAGTACAGTGTGGGCACAATGACACAATGTGGGCTCAGTGTGGACAAAGTGACACAGTGCGGGTACAGTGCGGGTACAGTGCGAGTACAGTGCGGGTACAGTGGGGGTACAAGTGCGTGCACAGTGCGGGTACAGTGCGTGCACAGTGCGGGTACAGTGCGGGTACAGTGCGTGTACAGTGCGTGCACAGTGCGGGTACAGTGTGTGCACAGTGCGGGTACAGTGCGGGTACAGTGCGTGCACAGTGCGGGTACAGTGCGAGTGTACTCACGCGCGCAGGGCCGCGGCGAGCAGAGCGCGGGCGCCTCGTCCTCCGCGCGCAGGCAGTCGCGGCGCCCGTCGCACACGTAGCTCGCGAGCACAGTGCGGGTACAGTGCGTGCACAGTGCGTGTACAGTGCGGGTACAGTGCGAGTGTACTCACGCGCGCAGGGCCGCGGCGAGCAGAGCGCGGGCGCCTCGTCCTCCGCGCGCAGGCAGTCGCGGCGCCCGTCGCACACGTAGCTCGCGAGCACAGTGCGGGTACAGTGCGTGCACAGTGCGTGTACAGTGCGGGTACAGTGCGAGTGTACTCACGCGCGCAGGGCCGCGGCGAGCAGAGCGCGGGCGCCTCGTCCTCCGCGCGCAGGCAGTCGCGGCGCCCGTCGCACACGTAGCTCGCGAGCACAGTGCGGGTACAGTGCGTGCACAGTGCGTGTACAGTGCGGGTACAGTGCGAGTGTACTCACGCGCGCAGGGCCGCGGCGAGCAGAGCGCGGGCGCCTCGTCCTCCGCGCGCAGGCAGTCGCGGCGCCCGTCGCACACGTAGCTCGCGAGCACAGTGCGGGTACAGTGCGTGCACAGTGCGTGTACAGTGCGGGTACAGTGCGAGTGTACTCACGCGCGCAGGGCCGCGGCGAGCAGAGCGCGGGCGCCTCGTCCTCCGCGCGCAGGCAGTCGCGGCGCCCGTCGCACACGTAGCTCGCGAGCACAGTGCGGGTACAGTGCGTGCACAGTGCGTGTACAGTGCGGGTACAGTGCGAGTGTACTCACGCGCGCAGGGCCGCGGCGAGCAGAGCGCGGGCGCCTCGTCCTCCGCGCGCAGGCAGTCGCGGCGCCCGTCGCACTCGTAGCTCGCGAGCACAGTGCGGGTACAGTGCGTGCACAGTGCGTGTACAGTGCGGGTACAGTGCGAGTGTACTCACGCGCGCAGGGCCGCGGCGAGCAGAGCGCGGGCGCCTCGTCCTCCGCGCGCAGGCAGTCGCGGCGCCCGTCGCACACGTAGCTCGCGAGCACAGTGCGGGTACAGTGCGTGCACAGTGCGTGTACAGTGCGGGTACAGTGCGAGTGTACTCACGCGCGCAGGGCCGCGGCGAGCAGAGCGCGGGCGCCTCGTCCTCCGCGCGCAGGCAGTCGCGGCGCCCGTCGCACACGTAGCTCGCGAGCACAGTGCGGGTACAGTGCGTGCACAGTGCGTGTACAGTGCGGGTACAGTGCGAGTGTACTCACGCGCGCAGGGCCGCGGCGAGCAGAGCGCGGGCGCCTCGTCCTCCGCGCGCAGGCAGTCGCAGCGCCCGTCGCACACGTAGCTCGCGAGCACAGTGCGGGTACAGTGCGTGCACAGTGCGTGTACAGTGCGGGTACAGTGCGAGTGTACTCACGCGCGCAGGGCCGCGGCGAGCAGAGCGCGGGCGCCTCGTCCTCCGCGCGCAGGCAGTCGCGGCGCCCGTCGCACACGTAGCTCGCGAGCACAGTGCGGGTACAGTGCGTGCACAGTGCGTGTACAGTGCGGGTACAGTGCGAGTGTACTCACGCGCGCAGGGCCGCGGCGAGCAGAGCGCGGGCGCCTCGTCCTCCGCGCGCAGGCAGTCGCGGCGCCCGTCGCACTCGTAGCTCGCGAGCACAGTGCGGGTACAGTGCGTGCACAGTGCGTGTACAGTGCGGGTACAGTGCGAGTGTACTCACGCGCGCAGGGCCGCGGCGAGCAGAGCGCGGGCGCCTCGTCCTCCGCGCGCAGGCAGTCGCGGCGCCCGTCGCACTCGTAGCTCGCGAGCACAGTGCGGGTACAGTGCGTGCACAGTGCGTGTACAGTGCGGGTACAGTGCGAGTGTACTCACGCGCGCAGGGCCGCGGCGAGCAGAGCGCGGGCGCCTCGTCCTCCGCGCGCAGGCAGGCGCGGCGCCCGTCGCACTCGTAGCTCGCGAGCACAGTGCGGGTACAGTGCGTGCACAGTGCGTGTACAGTGCGGGTACAGTGCGAGTGTACTCACGCGCGCAGGGCCGCGGCGAGCAGAGCGCGGGCGCCTCGTCCTCCGCGCGCAGGCAGTCGCGGCGCCCGTCGCACTCGTAGCTCGCGAGCACAGTGCGGGTACAGTGCGTGCACAGTGCGTGTACAGTGCGGGTACAGTGCGAGTGTACTCACGCGCGCAGGGCCGCGGCGAGCAGAGCGCGGGCGCCTCGTCCTCCGCGCGCAGGCAGTCGCGGCGCCCGTCGCACTCGTAGCTCGCGAGCACAGTGCGGGTACAGTGCGTGCACAGTGCGTGTACAGTGCGGGTACAGTGCGAGTGTACTCACGCGCGCAGGGCCGCGGCGAGCAGAGCGCGGGCGCCTCGTCCTCCGCGCGCAGGCAGTCGCGGCGCCCGTCGCACTCGTAGCTCGCGAGCACAGTGCGGGTACAGTGCGTGCACAGTGCGTGTACAGTGCGGGTACAGTGCGAGTGTACTCACGCGCGCAGGGCCGCGGCGAGCAGAGCGCGGGCGCCTCGTCCTCCGCGCGCAGGCAGTCGCGGCGCCCGTCGCACTCGTAGCTCGCGAGCACAGTGCGGGTACAGTGCGTGCACAGTGCGTGTACAGTGCGGGTACAGTGCGAGTGTACTCACGCGCGCAGGGCCGCGGCGAGCAGAGCGCGGGCGCCTCGTCCTCCGCGCGCAGGCAGTCGCGGCGCCCGTCGCACTCGTAGCTCGCGAGCACAGTGCGGGTACAGTGCGTGCACAGTGCGTGTACAGTGCGGGTACAGTGCGAGTGTACTCACGCGCGCAGGGCCGCGGCGAGCAGAGCGCGGGCGCCTCGTCCTCCGCGCGCAGGCAGTCGCGGCGCCCGTCGCACACGTAGCTCGCGAGCACGCACCGCGACTCACACGCGAACGCGCCGCGAGCGCAATTCTTCGTTCCTGCACGCATGTATGCACAAAATTACTTTAATCACGCAAGTGTTTATAAAATCTATTTCAATTTAGGGTTAATGCACTTGTAATAGAGACTTCGATTTGAGTTTTGTTTGAGGTGTAAAGATAGAATTGAAATACCCTGTCTTGAATACGTTTTATTTGCAACTGTTTATATGAGGGCGACAGTGAAAATATTTAGAACTGGCCACTTGTAAACGATATAATAAAAAATCCGGCCAAGTGCGAATCGAACTCGCGAACCGAGGGTTCCGAACAAATCCGTAGGTACATAAGTTTAAAATTATTAAAAATATTTTTATTATATGATGTTTAGGCCAAACAATTAACATTTGAAATTTGCATTCAACACTCGTGTCCGCCCGCTGACTTTGTAAAGGTCACCGTTGCCCCACTCCCGTGTGCGTCGCCCGGCAGAGGGCGCGGGCGCAGAACGCGAGTGCGAAAACAGTAGCTTTAATGCAGCGGTGCCGTCGCAACGTAACGTATTTGTGGTGACCGTGGCAGCGATTTCGTGCGACCAGTTTCGGTTTATGGTCTAGATTTTCAGTATTTGTGCGCGTTACTTCGCTACTTAAACTGTGTTTCGTGAAGACCGTCTCGGATTCGGTTGTCTAAGTATTGCTGTGAGTCTACTCGAGTCGCGTAGTTTCCTCTGATCGTGTCGATTTTGTTAGCAAATTTATGCAACGACGAGGAATTGTGTAGTCTAGAACATTAGACGCAGCGTTGAAGAGACCCCTTAGGACGAGTGGGCAAGGTGCTTTTCCCAGTGGTTCCATCGAATGCAGCGATTTATTGATGTAAATGAACACTATTTTGAAAAGATATAATAAAACTAATAACTTGTTAGTTTGTTCAGTTTTTGATTTTCTAAGAACTTTCAGTGTCACCCTCGTAATGTGTACAAATCACGAAGCAAATACAAAGAGATGGCATAAGCAACTGTACACTGTGATTCTAACCAGGTCCTGACGTCATCACAGTGGGCGTGGCTTTACTTAGTATACTGTCAGCGTCCGTCCTGTGCGCTTATTTGTCGAAAATCGAAAATCGGTGTATTTTCGTATTATTAAGAAGAAAAGGATGAAGTCACAGTCTATAAATCCATACAGTCGTCCGACGAAGACGTCTAGACAGGGCAATCGTGCGGGGTGTGAGGGGTGAGACGCGGGAAGGACGAGCCCGAGCTGCTCATGCCAATCGTATTAGTAGCTCGGGACACGACTTCCAGGGTTAAAGCGCGTTTGCTTTTATAATTTTTAAATTTAGTGTTGATACTTATAATTAAAATGGTTCATAAAATGGTGAGGAATTGCAAGTCGTCATCTCGCATAAATAAAGATCTGCGATTTCACCAAATCGCGCACACGGAAGAAAGGTAAACAAATATTGTTATTATTTTTTACATTTTTGTCATATCATGCCAAATTGCCAACGTAAAAAAATGGCGGACGTAAAAAATAGGTACTAGTCGCTGGGCATTACTGTTTCGAAGTTTGATTTTTTTTTCTTCATCTAAATCATGTGGTTGGACAGACTGAGGTTTTAGACCATACTATAGTGCCTCGTCTTCGGCTTTTCGAAGTTTTTTATAAAATATTAGGATTTAGGGGTCAATTTTTAGGTTTGTCGGGGTGCTAATTACGAAAATGGTATCCATTTTTATATCCAAGATGGTGGACATTTTTTTAATAATATGATATGGGTATCAATTTCGAGGTTTCTTGGGGTGCTGATTACGAAAATGGTATTCATTTTTAAATTCAAGATGGTGGATATTATTTTTTTAATGTTACGGATGTCAATTTCAAAGTTTCTTGGGGTGATGATTACGAAAACGGCATCCATTTTATATCCAAGATGGCGGACATTTTTTTAATAATATGATATGGGTATCAATTTCGAGGTTTCTTGTGGTGCTCATTACGAAAATGGAATTCATTTTTAAATCCAAGACATATTTTTTTTAATGTTATGGATGTCAATTTCGAGGTTTCTTGGGGTGCCAATTACGAAAACGGCATCAATTTTCATATCCAAGATGGTGGATTTTTTTTAATAATACAATATGGATGTAAATTTTAAGGTTTCTGGGCGTGATAATTATGAAAATTTATTAAAAAGTATTGTATTTAAAAATTTCAGATGCAAATTATGGATGGAAGTTATTGGAAGACCTGATTTAGTTGGAAGAACTTTCGAAAGCTAAAAGAATCAATTATAAAATAAACTAATAATTCAATGTCGTTGTAACGTTAATAATAATATGAATTTGATGTCTAGCTAAGAGTATAAGAACGATTTTATGTAGCGAAATTGAGGTATGGCCACATATCGAGAGTAGAGCACTCCCTCACGTTGTGAGGCGTGCAATTAACGTTTTGAGTACTTTCAGGAATAATCTAAGAACAAAAAATTGTTACTTATTTTTTATATTAGTAATCATACTGTTGATGACGATGTAGATCTAAAATAAATAATTAAATTAGTAAAAATTGTTAGTTTGTGACAACCCTAACCTCCATACGCTGTCTAGACGTTGTCGGCATTTACCACGAGATTAAAGGCGTCGTCCTACTGTATGTTTATTATACTGTGATGAAGTGTTGCGTTTTATCGTGTAAAAACTAGTCAGATAGACGTTCTGATGCACATTTCATTTGTAAGTAATTTTATACCTAATTTATTAAAAAGGTTCTAGAAAAATCTCTGCATCGGCTTTCAAATGTAATTAAATATATTCGACACTAGATGGCGACCCTGTGTCACGGAAAATAAAAAATATAAACATACGTAAGAGTTCAGTATTGGTAAAACAATCATACGAAGGTGTTGAAATTTGTTTTGTATTCAGTCCTAAAGAATCGCAAAATTGAATTCTATGCCACAGACATACCGCCCACCAAAGGACGACAGTCCTCTATAAGGAAGTAATAAACGTTAGATTTACAAGTAAAATTGTTAATACCATTTTACAAATTTGAGAGACAGCAAGGGCAATGTTAGCATAGCATCAGAACATAATACCATTATCATTATATAAAGTACAACTTATTACCATCTTATATATGGAAAAATGCATTGGATTTAATTTTTTTTATATATTAATTGCTAAGTATAAATATTAGGTCTTTACCTATCACCAAATATTATATATAATGCATCGATGCTGTAATATGCGATCTGCAGTAATGCTCATCCTATTTGGTAAGAAGCTGTGATGAATCACACCGGCGCTAGACTACCAAACAGTGACCATCACTTTTCTAGGGGTAAGTTTTCGTTTAGGTCATAGTTTTGGTGCTAAAACAGGATCCAAACAATTTGTAGAGCGCTTGCGATTGTCAAATAGAATCCATTTTTCGTAGCAGATAACAATACGGTTCAAAATTCCTCCGTTTGTGTGCCTGTTGAGCAGTGCAAAGCACGTCTCGACGCATACTTCGCGCTGGCGATCATTGAGTTCGTGGGGCACCCATTTATTAAGCTTTTTTTAATAGACTTCAAAAAGGAGGTATAGGTTATACGTGGTAGAGCCATGCTGCAGCTATATTTATGGTAAAGTTGTAGCACGAATGGGTCGGCTCGACCGGGGAAAAACCACGCTCTCACAAAAAGCCACCAGCCAGCCATAGACCAGCGTAAAAAAGTAGCTTAACATTACTGTGTTTTGTATAGTGAGTGTAGAGAACTGGAGACCCTTTTTACTCAGGGGTGCCAAAGTTTATTGAGGGTAGATGCAGATGTCTATTGGTCACAGCAACCACTTACCATCAGGTGGACTGTGTGCTAGTTTGTCACCCTGACCTATAAAAAAATACATTTATTTCAACCTATATCTAATAATGATCGGAATTTATATTGTTTTTTTTTTTATTGTGACAGTAAACAAAAAAATGCAGATGCGTTATCACCCGTGAGGACTAAGACGGGATGCCTCTTTTCCAGTAAAAAGGGTCTCCGGTTCTCTACACTCACCATACGAAACACATCAGTGTTAAGCTGCTATTTTACGCTGGTATTCTGTGAGAGCGTGGTCCTTCCCCGGTCGAGCTGACTCATTCGTGCTACAACTATACTACTAATATAGCTACAGTATAGCTCTAACACATATAAATATTAACAGTAACATAGTTAAATACTTACAAATTAGATAATAAAAAGGTTATCTTAACATTTGACTCACCTTTGGGTTGAACGAGGACATACTTGGTGACACTGAAGGGCGGCGCTGAACACATGTAGTGGCCGCTGTCACCGATCCGCAGTCCCAAGCGTTGTAGCTGACTCGAGTTGCTCGGTCCACTCGGTTCCACAGTGAATGGCCTACAGCGGAACAGCCAGGATAATTAAATATCAATATTAACAATACTAATATTGTTCTCCGGACCGAAATTTTCGAGGCACGGGGATGAAACACCGCCAATTTTCTGACTCCGGTCTGCTGTTGCGAATTTCTTGGCAGAAAAACGCGATAATTGACCTAATCCTGACCCGGAATTCGAACTCGGGACCTCACGAATAGCAATCGCGTTTACGACCACTAGATCAACGAGGCAGGCAGATATTAATATTACAATGATACCTGCCCAGCATCATGAGTAAGCAATATGTTCAAGAAATGAATGACAGTTGGTTTGTTCTTGAAAAGTCCAAGTTCACCAGTTGACTTAACTAGGTTAAAGATAAGAAAGGATTTTTTTTATAGAATAAGGGTGACAAACAAATTAAGCTGCAATTTTATGCTGGTATTCTGTGAGAGCGTAGTCCTTCCCCGGTCGAGCCGACCCATTCGTGCTACAACCATGATTTGCACTTGACAACTTCCTTGATACCATGACACTGACAACTTCCTTACAACCATGATCAGGTAGTTGTCGGTGTTTCACCCCGTGCCTCGGAAAACACGGACAGAGACGATTGAAAAAATTCAATTGTTGATTTGTTGATCATGAGATCATTAAAAAAAACACGTTAGGCTAGTTTCATGAGCGGATAGCTGAGAGGAAATAGTGATCATGATAGTAGAGATGGCGGTATTTAGTCCTGCAATAGAGCTAATACTTGTATATTTAACATCTAATCCATCTACTACTACTATACTATTCATACATACATAATATAAAACAATTTACTCAGGTACATATAACCTGGTAGTACTGTCTGACCCTGAAAGTACTACCTATATCAGACCCTATTTCAAATCCCAGGTGGGGTGAACAAATTGAACAAAACCCTTTTTTTTTTAAATTACGAATAACCTTGTAACATTAGAAGGTGTAATATTGGAATGTGTTAAATAAGAAGAGACGTGTTACTTGTTCTAGCTCTTTAATTATACTGATTAAAGTTATTCTACCTTAACAGTAATATATATTGTCGTGGGGCCTACACTACAGCCTTCATTACTTCATTATTCTTTTCCATCAATTTGCACCATTAAATTTTATGTGTTAATATTTCTCTGTAATGGATGGATTCTATTCTATTATTATTGATTATCCAATACCATAACCTTGTATGGACAAGGCTAACCTCTGATCTAATCGCAATTGGTAGAGCCATGCTGCAACTGTATAATCAGGATCGTGCTCTCACAGAATAACAGCGTCAAATATCAGCTTAATACTCCTGTGTTTCGTATGGTAAGTGCAGAGAACTGGAGACCCTTTTTACTGGAAACGAGGTATTCTTATCTTAGTCCTCAGCTGTGACAACGAATCTGCATTTTGATTCTTAACGTAGGATAAATGTAATGTCAATGGGCCACAGCATCCATTAACCATCAAGTGGACTGTGTGCTCGTTTGTCACTTTAAGTTTAAGTTTAAGTCCAGATGAGAATATTTGTGTTTACGCATAATCTTTTGTCACATGTCCTTTGCAGTTCCAGTAATATCTGATCATTTACGAATGTAATTCTATCCACATGGAGGCCATCAAGACAACATCATATTCGCTAAATTCAATTCAAGAAAACGAAAGCAATTAATAGTGTAATTGTTTGCTTATGCACCAGATTTCTCTCTAGTGTCAGATTACCGTCACTGGAGTATGGTGCATAGCACACGATTTGTGTTTGACATATAATAGTGTATTTTTTTTTGTTTCTTTTATCTTAATAAGTCATTTAGATGTAAGTAGGAAATAAACACCTATTTATGTCTTTACCTGACGTCACGCACCATTGACATCTTGCATCTTCATTCAACAAGAATCCAATCTTTAAAATAAGTAATAAATAAAATATTACCTTTCATTTGCTGTGCCATTTCCAACATAGTTCCAAACGTACACTCTTGGGGAACTATCGCCACGTAGCTCACATATCAGTGTCAGATTTTCCAGCACCCTCTTAACCAGAATATCCGTATACTCCGGCTCTCCAGGACTGTACAGCATCAGCGCCGGCGGCGGTTGTAAAGGTTCGCTCAAGCCTGAAGCAAAAAAAATATAAATTCTTAGGCCTGTTACCTAGTGGGGTAGAGGGGCAGAGACTACAGGCTTCCATTAGGCACAATCTTGTCACACCTCTCCGGCTGTACAGGACACTGTAGTGTACGATTACATTTTATAAAAATTATATTCAGTTATACTAAGTTACAACTAGTAGGAGTGCAGCAGGGATGGACAGCGGCGTCTTACTAATAACGACTAAAAATACCCGCTCGCCAAGCGTGGCAGCTATGGCAAATCTATACAAATAAATAAAATTGAAGTGTATGTTTGTAATGTTAAAATAACAGATTTTTACTAAACGCATATGAAAATATATACGGTACTTATAACAAAATCACAAATTTTAAAATTTGTGTCTGTCTGTCTATCGGTCTGTCTGTCTGTTTGTTCCGGCTAATCTCCGAAACGGCTGGACCGATTTCGACTGGAATTGCACTGGCAGATAGCTGATGTTCTAAGGAGTAACTTAGGTTACTTATATTTGAGAAAAAGAATTAGGGTTCTGAGCAATATAATTAAAACCCTAAATTACACGCGGGCGAAGTCGCGGGGAACAGCTAGTATTCCCCATAAGGGGCAATCAATAGGGAAGGCTTATATTCAGCATTGGACTTTAATAGGCTATAACAGTAATGGATGTTAACATGCGTTGACTCCTTGGCAATTTTTTTTATTAATTTATTTGTGTACACACAACAAGATACAGAAACAGTCATGTAGTGAGTTTGTATGAAGGTTCTACTTATTTCATAATTTTCTGAAATATCTTCCAGAACACCAATAAAGGAAAATAATTTAAAAGGCTTAGTGTGTACATTACCAATAATACCAAAGAATAATCAATATAATTTATGTTACATAAATTATATTACCGTCGTCATAAATTATATTACTGCCGTGTAGTGGCGGTTAAGACTATCCACTACCCCATATCTTCCCGTGGGTGTCGTAAAAGGCGACAAAGGGAAACTGGCAGGAGATGGGCAGCAGAATCTTCCTGATAACAGCAAAAATACAATAAAAAAATGCTATATTGCTATGCTATGCTGTTACTAAGAGACGGCCCCCAGTCCCCGGCGGCCCCGCTATTCCTGGCTACGGTGGCGACCATGGTAACGGCGGGGCAGGGGGTGCTAAGAATCACCGGTGGAGGTTCGGTTGCCACCTACGACGACTCGACCTGGCAACATACAACGCACGCACCCTGAGGACTGACGAGAAGATCGTGGAGCTGGAAGAAGATATAGACAAGTTACGCTGGCATATTATAGGATTATCCGAAGTCTGAAGAGAGAGGGAGGACACGGTAATCCTCGAATCCGGCAACTTGCTCTATTACCGGGAGGGCGATCATCTGTCCCCAAGGAGGTGTCGGATTTATCGTCCACAAGTCTCTCGCTAACAACGTTGTAAAGATTGAGTGTGTCGACGAGGGTTGCGTACCTTATACTCAGAATCACCAAACGGTATTCGCTGAAGGTCATACAGGTTTACGCACCAACCTCGGCAAACCCCAATGAGGAGGTAGAGAAAATGTATGAGGATATCTCTAGGGCCATGCATTCCTCCAAAACCCAATATACGGTGTTAATGGGAGACTTCAATGCAAAACTAGGCACAAGAGAGAATGGTGAGCTGAAAGTAGGGAAATTTGGAATAGGGCAACGGAACCCAAGGGGCCAGCAGCTGGCCGACTTCATGGAGAAAGAGGGACTCTTTATGATGAACTCTTTCTTTCAGAAGCGGCCCCACAGGAAATGGACCTGGTCGAGCCCCGACGGTTCGACAAAAAATGAGATTGACTTCATTATGACGACCAGACGACAACTGTTCAGTGATGTCTCAGTGATCGCGAGGGTGAAAACCGGCAGCGATCACCGAATGGTTAGAGGCACACTGAACCTAAACGTTAAGTTGGAGAGGTCTCGTCTAATGAAGTCAACCCACGGAGGGTTGACTTCATTAGTCTCGTCTAATGAAGTCAACGCTCCGTCCCCTTCGTGCTCTAATCCAAAGTCCCGAAACCTTTCAGCTCGAGTTACAAAACCGTTTTCAGTGCCTAGAAGTCTGCAATGAAGTGGACGATATGAATGACAAGCTCGTGGAAACTGTCCATGCGGAGCTAAGTTCTGCAAGACCCGCCCCAGAAGAACACAAAAACTCTTCAATCACACTCTTAATCTCATGGCTGTTAGACGGGAGATGAAGCTACATGCTTCAACAGATTTGACAGCATACAGGCAACTGAACAGACAGATCTCCAAATGCATGCGGCGGGACTTACGCAACTTTAATACAGCTCGTATTGAAGAAGCGAACGGAGCCAACTGTCAAAGCTGAAGACAGAACGTGGCAGCATCGTTTCCGGGGCACCTGAGATTTTGAGTGAGATTGAGAGGTTCTATGGGCAGCTGTACACGTCATCGTTGGAGCCACACGCGAGTGTGAGTAACGATCCAAGAGCGAGTCTTATCCGACATTATTCCGATGATATCCCAGATGTCAGTCTGAGCAAGATTAGAATGGCTCTCCAGCACCTTAAAAACGGCAAGGTAATTCCATCCTCGCCCCAGGCGAGGATGGAATTACAGCGGAGCTTCTGAAAGCGGGTGGAAAACCGGTACTTGAAGTCCTTCAGAAGCTCTTTAATTCCGTTCTCCGTGGTGGCATTACACCGGAGGCGTGGAGCAGAAGTGCGGTGGTCTTGTTCTTCAAGAAAGGCGACAACGCTCTCTTGAAGAACTACAGACCGATTTCTCTTCTGAGCCGCGTCTACTTGCTGTTTTCGAGAGTCATTACGAATCGTCTCGCGCGCAGACTTGACGACTTCCAGCCTCCCGAACAAGCCGGTTTCCGAAAAGGCTTTAGCACCATAGACCACATACATACCCTTCGGCAAATTGTACAAAAGTCAGAGGAGTACAATTTGCCACTATGTCTGGCGTATGTGGACTATGAGAAAGCCTTTGATTCTGTCGAAATTTGGGCGGTGCTGCAGTCCCTTCAGCGGTGCCAAGTGGACTGTCGGTATATCGAAATGCTGAAGTGCTTGTACAGTAGGGCTACGATGGCTATCCGAGTACAGAACCAGAGTACGAAACCTATCCAATTGCAGAGAGGTGTAAGACAGGGTGAAGTCATATCCCCGAAACTCTTCATCGCTGCATTGGAAGACGTTTTCAAGCTTCTGGACTGGAAAGGATACGGTATCAACATCAATGGCGAGTACATGACTCACCTTCGATTTGCCTACGATATAGTCCTTATGGCAGAATCGCTGGAGGACCTAAGCACTATGCTCAATGACCTCAATAGTGCTTCCCAACGGATAGGTCTTAACATGAACATGGACAGAACAAAGATCATGTTTAATGTCCATGTCACACCTATGCCAGTAGTTGTTGGGAGCACTAAGCTCGAAGTTGTTGACGAGTATGTTTGCTGATGACCTGGGACAAATAGTCCGACTAGGTAAGTCCAACTTCGACCGATAGGTCAATCGACGGATTCAACTCGGTCGGGCAGCGTTCAGGAAATTACGGCACATCTTCTCGTCAGGTATACCTCAAAACTTGAAAACGAGACTGTACAACCAGTGCGTGTTGCCAGTGATGACATACGGAACTGAGACGTGGTCCTTCACTGCTGGCCGGATGAGGAAGCTCAAGGTCGCTCAGCGAGCTATGGAGAGGGCTATGCTCGGAGTTTCTCTGCGTGATAAACTCAGAAATGAGGATATCCGCAGTAGAACCAGAGTGACCGACATAGCCCAACGGATTAGTAAGCTGAAGTGGCAATGGGCCGGCCATGTAGCTCGAAGAACCGACAACCGATGGGGAAGAAAGGTTCTCGAGTGGCAGCCTCGTACCGGCAGGCGAAGTGTTGGACGTCCTCCCACTAGATGGAGTGACGACCTGGTAAGATATGCAGGAAGTCGATGGATGCAGGTGGCTAAGGACCGTGCTTTGTGGCATTCCTTGGGGGAGGCCTATGTTCAGCAGTGGACTTGTGAAGAGCTGTAATGATGATAATGATGATGATGAAATTATATTAAGTAATACAATTCTTTTTTAGTATGTTTTGGTTTTTTTTCCTATGTTCTTATTTCGTATTCCAGTTTATTTATTTTTTTACATTCTACGGCGAAATTTGTAGTCTGGACCTCACCAGTTACACCCAGATTTCTTTGAAAAACGATTCAGAATATGAGTACTCAGTTAAATTACCTAAACGGTAAAACTATAGAAATAACCTTCAAGATCAATGTTATTGAACAACAATACAGTTTGTTCCGTGTTTAGCACATACAAATTATACAAGACCTATGCAATTGCATAGCATAATGGCATTGCAATTATATTAGCATTCTTATATAAATTCACAGTTATCAGAATGAAGGATTCAAATTCATTTTATTCGTTTACAATATATGGGTATAATATAACAATAGGTCTTAATAATTTAACAAAAATACAGCCATGTTCTACTTTCCGATGTGCAAACTAAGTAAATACAAGATTTTTTTTTATAATTAAAATGGAAAATTCTGATAATTACATTAACATAATATAATCCTATTTGTATATTTGCACTACTAACATATTAATAATTTACTAAATAATAACATAATAAATGTAATAATTAAAATTATAATGTCAAAATAATAATGTTAAAACGAGTGTAAATTAAATTATATATACCCTAATTATTTTTCTAAAATAAAAGTATCCTAAGTTACTTCTTATAACATCTGCTATCTGCCAGTGAGTCCCGTCAAAATTGGTCCAGCCATTCCGGAGATTAGAAACAAAAAGATGGACAAAAATTTTGAAAATTGTTTTTTTTGTTATTGGTAGTCTCATATTCATTTAGTAAAAAACTGTTATTTTAACATTACAAACAGACACTTCAATTTTATTTATTGGTATATTTTTGCAGTATACATATAGTAGCTATCTAACTAGTAGCAGCTACCAGC